TCAAACCTTCAATCGTCAGAATTACAAATTTTTTATAGCATGAATAATTCATTTCATGGAGACTTATCTCAATTGAATCAAAATTTAAATCAGATGAATGTAGTAGAATTAGAATTGACTAATGAAACATCAAACATTATATACGATGATACTATTGATAGTTTAACGATTACAGATTTTAACAAGTATATATTAAACTACTTAGGAGGATTGCAAAGATCTCGGAAGCTAAAAGTACTCAGTTGTAGTAATACACAAATAAATAACTTATCAACTTTACCCGACTCCTTAACAATACTCTATTGCTGTGAAACTCAAATAAATAGCCTACAACTTTACCCGACTCCTTATAAAACTCTGGTGTTTTGATACACAAATTAGTAACTTACCAACTTTACCCGACTCCTTAACAAAACTCAGTTGTAGTAATACTCCAATAAATAGCTTACCAACCTTACCCAACTCCTTAACTGATCTCTGGTGTGGTCATACTCCAATGAATAGCTTACCAACTTTACCCGACTCCTTAACGCATTTCAATTGTAGTTTTGTAGGACTTACTACAGTGAGGTTAAAAAAATTTGGAGAATTTTTTTTTTATTTGATTATCTAAAAAATACATTTATTCTATAATTTGTAATTCAATTGTCATTGATTTTGAAATAATTTTTACGTGTTTAAGAATAATTTAATTTTAGTTCAACAATTTTTTATAATTTAAAAAGTCGTAATATATAGCAAATATATATTATTTTGTTGATAACCATCTTAATAATAATAATAATAATTTGTTCATTAACTTTGAAAATATAAAAAAAAAAAATCATAACTGGTTTATAACCAGAATTCGGAATATGCAATATCGCGAATTTATAATAAATTGGTTTAAGAAAAAAGTTCGTTATAGGCCAAATCGACTTATCGCGTATCTGATTGTAAAAAAAAAAAATTCTGAACAGTTAAAGTTTTCAATAAATTATCTCGAAAGTTTGGATGTACACTTGAATGACACTCTTGAATGACAAACAAATACGGTTTTCCGAAAAAAAAAATATGTTTTTGCAATTAAAAATAGCAAATATTATTCCTTTTCCTTATACAGACTATCTTATGAAAGTTTATATATTCTTCACCTCAAGCATCAAGAATGATTTTTCATTGATGTGTTACGCCAAATTAGATAAGTCTTCAGCTCTGTAGCTTTTTTTATTGTAAATGAAGTTTCCGGAATTTAATTACAGTAATGATGTGATGATAATTATTATTTGTAGAAATTTTAAGAGGATAGAACACAAAGGTTGTTCAAACAGATAGGAAATCTTAGAAATTTGTGGAGATAAAGTTGTATTAAATTTTTTTTTATATATATCTTTAATGGACTTAACATTTTTATTTAAATAAATAAATCAATATTTTATTTATTTATAGTAATGGCAGATATTATATGAAAGTTTATTTGTAAAAGTTAGGAATTTGAAAAACAATTTGTTTATTCGAATAGAAATTTATGATTTAAGGTTTAGCTAATTAATAAAATTAATTATAATTTGATTTATGGGGAAAGATGTAAAATAATGAAAATATTATTCATGATTTAAAAAGAAATTTCCATGCTTTCTAATTTACTTAACCTTTTAGATTCGTTCTCGTTCGACGAATTTCCGTTTCTTGGTTCTTTATGGATACTTTAACTAGATTCATAATCATGGCCGGGCCTTAATATTTGAAAGTAACACTAAATAGCCCGCGATGTTTTAATAAATTTTTTGATTTTTAATTTTGATTTTAATTTTAATTTTGGATTATTGAATTAATTGAAATTTGTTTTATTTTTTTTTTTTTAATTTATTTATTTATATAATCACGTTTGGATCTTATGATTCACCTATGTTTTGTGAAACAGATAAAATTAATTTCAAGGTACAAGAATTCTTGTTAACTGAAATTAAAATAGTTACACAGATATTGACCAATAAGTTCATGACCATGAATCAACTTTAGAATTAATTCTAGAATATCGTGAAAAATAGTATGCATCTTTGGCTTGACAAGATCGTAGCCTCGAATATTTCATCACTTCGTTCCTCAATATTCAAGTCTACTCCCGAATGCAAGCAGTATAGCATAAATATTAGTATACATAGAAGGTTTGCAAAGACTCTACGAGCTTAGCTTCGAACCTTTGGTTCTTGCCAATCTCGCGTCATCTCAAACTCAAACAGAATGGTATAATTTTTTGATATTCAGATTGGATTTAAAATCGCGCTATAAAGGTTATAACAATTTGGTTGATTTTATCTTCTGAAGCATAAATTTTATAGCAAGGAATATGATAATGAAATTGCGCGCTGGCAAAGTTTTTAGACCTGAATTCTATATCATAGATTCGTAATGCTAAAAGGGTATCTGGCCAATGCTTGAGAGGTTTCTGAATACCTTTTCGAATTCTGACCCTAGACCCCTCATTTTCTCTCTACTATTAATAGATAATAAGTATGTCAAATTAATTTCATTATCTTCATCTGTTTCATTATCAATATTATTTTTATCTGTTTCATTATTATCATCATCAACATTATTTTTATCTGTTTCATTATTATTATTATCAATATTATTTTGATCTGTTTTATTTATCATCATTATTAATATTATTCTTATTTATTTCATTGCTGTTATCATGAAATTCCTCACTTTCTTCATCTAATTTTTCAGAAAATTGTAAATTTTCATGAGATTTTATAAGTTATTCTAATGTTATATTTAGCTTATATTCATAATCTTTTATTAAAAGTTTATTATTCTAGAGACTGGATTTTTCATAATATGGCATTTTTGATATTTCTTTATCATTATCATTCCAGAAATCAGGTTTTTTATGTTCATGTTTGATTGAAAGGTTACTTCTTTATCTTTATCTTCATCAATGCTTATTTAAAATATGTAATTTTAAAGCATAAGTTGATATAAAAGTACATAAACAATATGAATATTCATAGGTCATTTTGGAGTAAGTTTAGCAAAAATAAATGAAACTGAATTTTATGAAAGTGAATTTATTTAGTTGCCTGAACAAAACTAAAAAATTGAAATAATATATAGTAAATTTAGCTTATATAATCATAATATCATATTATATAGACTACTATTTAGATAACAAATTTGTATTATTGATCTATTAACTTTCAAATACAATTAAATATACATTGCTTTCTCTTGATTAATTATATTGTTTTATATTATTAATTTTCAGATGCTCATTTATTATTAGTTATCTTTAGTATGTATCTTCATTCTTTGATTAATTAAATTTTATTTTTAACTATTGTTCAGAGCATAAGTGAAGGATGATATACTACTAGATAATATGAAAATTATAGTTTCTGTTTAATTATCTATTTATCTATTTGTTTATTCACATAATATTATATTTGAATCATATTATAATAATAATAAAAAAATCATATTAATATTAATGGTCCTATTTAATAATAATTCATTTATGTTAAAAATTATTTTTTTAAATTATTTCTAAAATTTTGTTTAATTGGTTTTGTTGTAAGAAAAAAAAATATATATGTATATACTACAGTATTATTTTTTCATTTTTTGAATTTAAATATGCTTTTTAATTTTGTTTAAAATATTATATTACTATTATACTTCTAAAATTTTGTTTCGTTATAAGAGAAATATATATATATATATTATTATTTTTTCACTTTTAAATTTAAATGTAATTTTTAAAATATTATATTAATGTTTAACTTCTGATATCAAAATTAAGTATTTTTCCTCTTCTTTTCTTTTCTTGTAACCTTTTACAATTTTAATACTTTAAGTTTCTGATAACTGAAAGGCTAAAAGATAATATCTTTAAGAACACAAACTTAAGAAACTGAATGAATAAAAGTTTTGCAGTAAACTCTTTGCTATATATATCTATTTTAAGGTTCCTGGCTTTTATAAATAGTGATAGCCCATGCGAGGCAAATGTGAATTATAAATATGAATATGATATTCTGTTTTTACTTTTCCAAGTACATTATAATAATGCAATCAGGATAACCTTTGTACTATATAAAGCAGTAATTATGCAATGAGTTTCAGACTCACAACAGTTCCCATTACCTAGTGTATTATAACTAATTATGCATTATATTGAAGTTTTACTAATTTTAGTTTATCAAACATTAAAAAAGTTTATATATAGAATACTTTTCTAACCTTATTTTTAAACTTTTTTATTACTAATTGCATTAAAATTTTCTTCTATTCTTTTTTCATTCAAAATCTTCATACTTTTTCTCTGCTTCTTTTCCACTTTAAACTAAAGAAAAGTAAAGAAAAATTTAGTATAATCTTTTATATCATTTTGATTTGTATCAGACCTTTTTTAAAAATGCTAAAGATAAAATAACATCTTACTAGAGCTATCAAAGACAAACAGTCTCAAGAATCAAATATTAAACTAAATAACAAACAAGAAGGTTCAAGAAAGTCTGAAAAACAAAAATATACTTTATAAGCTAAAGAATCTTCCAAAAAATCAGATAGTACTAGTAACCAAGGATCGGATAGTAATCAAGAAGAAATAGAAGTAGTATCAGAAGTTTTGCAAATTACAATACTATTAGAAGGTAATGACTCATATATTATTATTTATATTAGATGCATTAATAAACTTTACATAATTGATTATTTATTTTAGATAAAAGTCGAAAGAAACATGTTAAAACATATAGCAAACAATCAAAGCAAAGTAGGTGATAATTTCTGGACTTGATAATTATCAATATTGCATTTTACATCTAATACAATTTACTGAGTGGGTGATAATAATACATTAGTGTCAGCTGTACTTTCAGGCCACTTGTAGACAATATATGACGCAGTCAGCCAACCACACCAGCTGTTGAACATGAAAGGAGCTCGTCAACTGTGATAGCAACACCGGAGACTAATGTCTAACCTTCTGAAAGCAGAAAACGTTGCGAGAATATACACTCCCCTGAAGAAAATATCCGGGCACTCAAAAAAAAAATTTATTTTTATTAAAATATTTTCATATTTAATAAATTGTGGGCCACCTATTCCTACTAATACACTCTTCTATTCTATTCGGCATACTTTTATTAATTTTTTATAAAATGTACTAGGAATTTTCGCCCATTCTTCTTGTAAAGCAATTTTCAATTCTAATGCATTTTTAGGACGATGTGACCGTTTTCTAACTTGTCTATCAAGCTCGTCCCATAAGTGTTCGATTGGGTTCAAATCTGGAGATTGGGACGGCCAATTGGACAATATTTTAAGTCTTTTTTTATGAACCCATGCTTTTACATCCTTAGCTGTATGGATGGGAGCATTGTCATCTTGGAAAAAATAATTTTCGCCACGAAAATTTGATTTTATCCAAGGTAACAAATTTTTTTCTAATATTTCAATATATCCAAATCTATTTAATATTCCTT